GATTTTTAAAAAAGAATCATGTTGCATATTATGTGATTCTCAGTAAGTCAATATACTGGCTGGTTTAGGATTAAGGGACTTGTTTTTTTAATGTATCATATAATTGAGGGTTTTTTTTACTACTACTAGCTTCTAGTTGACATTGCAATAAAGTTCTTTCCTATTTACTGTCCACTAGTTGACAGTTCCTTCAGAATTTTCAGTTGATTGATTTTCAACTGCAAATTCTTTTTTATAAATTGGATCTGCAATTCGCTTTGCTCATTTGAACTGTTTACTTATTGTAATGGGGATCTGTTTACTTACATTTGGGGAAAATACCTTGGGGCTAGAATTAATTTCAGTCTTTTTAAGGAGACTTTTAATCTTGAGTGTAGTTAAGAAGTAACAGTAAAACAAATACCACCTGCCTATCGCAATGGATGGCAAAATTTATGGCTGGTGACTGAGACAGCCACAGATGATGGGAAGAGGAAAATATATGCAGAGGAGATATAGGGGCATTCCCTCTTTCTCCAGAGTCTCTAGCTCAGAGGATGGCAATCTGAGGGCCACATGTGGCCCATTAAGGTTCAATGTACAGGCCCGCAAGATATTTTGTTTACTATTGCTCATGCACAGTGTTGCCATATTCCGCTGGTTTCTGCCATGTTATTTTTTTTCCACACTGGTATTGCTAAAGTGACACACACATAAAGCAAGGGCCTGTGAAGTCAGGTGCATGCTGACTGCACGTAGGATTGTCGTGTGTCCCATATTCACTCAGTCCGGTATTTTTGCCTCCTGTCCGGTAAAAAAATTCAGAGAATACCGGACATCTAAAATGTCCGGCATTTCTGGGTTTTTTTTCCTCCGGGCAGGAGGCGAAAATGCCGGGCACCTGGCAACCCTACAAACACTCAGTGCCTGGCCTCCCCCACCCCAACCTCCTCCGGCTCCCAACCCCAGCCCCCATGCTTACCTGGTTCCGCAAGGCTGTGTCAGCCAACGGTCAGGGCAGTATGTGTGTGTATGTTACACCCAAGTCTTCAACTGCTGGGACACAAGGCCCCATTGCAGCGGGCAGCCTGGGAGGCTGAAGGGCGCCCCGAGAAGTTTAATGTCCGTGTCTTTACCACTAGGACCGGGGTCCCGTCGCAGCGGGCAGCCAACAGGCTGACAGACGCCCCAGAGTTTATAGGAAGAGTTTATTACATCTCAGATTTCAACTTCTAGGATACAGGATCTCTTTGCAGCGGGCAGTCTAGGGAAGACTGAGAGATGCCCCCAATGGATCTGTCCTCTGGAAGTGACACAATCCAAAATGTCCAAGCTCTCCCTATACCTGTCCCTTATGACCGGCTGAAGTTCTTTTAAATTGTGCTTGGTTATGTTACAGCAACTGAAGGAGTCAGGTTAAAGCTTAAACAGTTACAGGTTTATTAAAGAAGCTTATAAATCATATAGTTACAATGGCTATTGCTCTATTTCTTAACTGCTAGCAAATATAAATCTTAAAAATGGTTACAAAGAAAATAAAGATAGAAAATAGAAATAATGGTACCAAGTGTCAGCTTAATCTTTAAAGAGCTCTAAATCTATGTGTACACTTAAGACAAAGGACCACATCCAGGTATAATTTTTACCCCCTTCTGTGCCTCTCGGTCTCAGCGTGTCAAGCCAGGGCCAGTCCCTCAATTCCTAGGAAAGACGAATACGAGGTGGGCGTCCCCGTGGAACCTTGGGAGGTCAAACACCTAACCCAACCAGCAAATAGATGATAGATTGACACTCAGAGTAAGTGTGCTGCTGGACCCATCTTTATACCCATAGGGGCCCGTATCCTCTTTCTTATCTAAGATGCCAAATTGTGTTGGTTCATCTTTGTGACGCCAGTTCTTACAAGCAAGTTTCAACTTAATTTATACTTGCAAGAGAGATAACTAAATTGTGAGTACTGGACATTTTTTACTGGGCAAGAGATTCCTCCCCCCGCGGATGGCTGTGTGTTCATATCAATATGGGTTTCAGTCAAGGGCACTCCTCGGCAGTCTCTAGATCAGCAATTGGCGTATCTCTGTTTACAGCCATCTGAGGTCACAGCAGCCTGCATATCCGGGCCTTTTGTTCAAGGCTTACTGCTCTGTGTGCCCTGTGTGCTCCAGGCAAGTACCCCAGCCCCAGCTAGGGGGGTTGCTGTCTGGCTACAGGCTGCTGGAACAAAATGGCTGCCGACCAAGGCAACTGCTCCCCTGTTCCTATCCCTGCACTCACTCTTAAAAGGGACATGCTGCGGTTTTTTTTTTCTTTTTTTGCTCAACAATTTTGGTCCCTCCCTCCTCCCTCCTTTTTTTCCCCCTTCAACAGAATTTTTTCCCGGTGTTTTTTTTTGGGGGGGGGCGGTGTTCTGTATTTTTGTTTAAATCATCTGGCAACTCTAACTGCACACAATGTTGACTATAAAAACTGTATGCTCCATCTGCATCTACTACTATGGTTCAATTGGCACACCTGACAAATTGTAAGTATACAAGTGCAATTAGCAAAATTACCCTATCCCAGGAGGCCATCTTGGTCACAACAATCTTGTGGTCCACTCATTAGCCTAGGCTGTCCATTTCTGCTTTAGCTATTCATTGAGCAGCTGGGAGAGAAAGGGAATTGACTGGCCTGTCACCTTCGTCTTTCAGTAATTTAAACCCTAATCCTGGTCATGTGAAGTTTCTTTTTGCTGTTTCAGAAACCCTGCTTCTCCAACCTATATTGCTAGCTTTGAGCTGTGTTTTGTGGATGCCAATCACCTGTGCTTGAGCCAGAAAGGAGTTTTTCTTCCCATAGGAGCTAACTTGGCATAGGCCTAGGGAATTTTTTGCTTTGCCTCCAGCATCCTGAATGCACAGTTAAGTTAAATAGGTGTAAAGATTTAGTAATTCAGTATAGCAATGTTTCATCACAGTTTGTGGTTGGTTTTCAATGTGTTTTAAAGGATTAAAAGGAATGATTCCCTGTGCTCATGGTAAAACCTTGATATTCACAAGCCTAGATCCCAACTTAGTGCAGTTCGTCCTACTTATCAGGGTGGGAGGACACAGTTGAGCAAGCTGAGCCTTAGTTCCGGACCCGTTTTGCTCGCAGACTACGGTGTCCTCTTCAGGATACTGCCCACTGGCAGTGCCCACGCCAGTGTCTCTCGGCCCTCTTCCCAGGGGGGGATTGCTTATCAGTCTCTGTACTCTGGGGTCCTCCCCTCCCAGGGAACTCCCAATTCCTCTATACCTACCTTGCCTCAGTGACCCACTGCCAGTCTTCATCTAGTCCCTTATCTCAGGGGCAAACTGCAGTCTGAAATGGCCACACATCATTGGTAAAGGGGTAGACTTGCTGCCTTAGCCTCTATTAGCTGCCTCCCCACAGCCCTAGCACTCTGAGGCTTTGCCTCAGGCCCTGCAGCCTGGAGTGAGGCCAAGCCAGAGCTCCCCAGCTCTGTCTGCCTTTCCCCAGCACTGCTCTTTTCCAGGAAGCCCCCAGCTTTCCTGGCAGCCAAGTCTCTCCTGCTCCCCAGCTAGAGCAAGAGTTCTCCCTCTTCTTCCCTTCTGGAGACCTTAGTTATACAGCTCACAGCTGAGCCCTAATTGACAATATCAACCTCAGCTGTGGACTTTGCTCTCAGCCCTTTCCCAGGGCTGGGTTTTAGCCTTAAAGGACCAGTGTGGGGTAGATGCTCCATCACAAAGCCCTACGACTCCTACACGGGAACCATTTAAAGTGCCTTATTATGTGAGAGTACATGTGACAGGGCAGATAGGGCTCCTCCCCGCCTTATGTTCAATGAAGTTTTGTTCTGCTACATAAAGTCCATTTCTGTGTCCACATTTGCCACCCCACCTTTATCAACATTGAACTTGGTCAATATCTTGGGTTAGAACACACATAGCTGCACACCCATAAACACCCTCTCTTTTTCCTTTCTTCCCTTCTTCCATTCAGTACTTGAGATTAAATTACACTTTGTGATATTGGCATTGTCTTGTCTATGCAATCTAGATAGATCTCGAAAATGTTCCTCCATGTTTTTAAGTCCATGGCATAGAAGGTAATACATACTTTAACAAGACCCAGGTCATGAGCCTGAGTAGATGGGCTGAATGTATTGAGGGCAAGGAGTGGAGTGTCGTTGTCCCTGACCTGAGAAACAAGTACAGAGCTGCCTTGCAGCAGCTATTTCAGCCTGCTGGGTGCACAAATCTTTATGGGGTTTAGATATACACTTTGTAGCAGGGAGGTGAGAGAGTCTGCATAATAGCAGATCCTCCTGGCTTTTTGCAAATTTCCCACTCCTTCTGTGCTACAATGTTTAAAAAAAAGGGGGGGGGAGCAGGGCTTCATGATGGGTAGGCAGCGTGTGCCACACTTACCTCGAGTCCCATTCTCACCACTGAGTGGAATTTCACTTTTTCCTCTGGAAAGGTATCCTCCATCATCATGGGAGATGGAAAGCAATTCACTCTAGGATAATGCAGTATTAGCAGAGATGGGCTCAGATTCAAGCTTCCAAATTTAGAAAGAGACTAGAACCGGTTCTGAGCTTTGTAACTTGGACCCCTTTCTTTTATTTGTTACTTACCTTCTGTATCAGAGTCGTCACAGCTGGTACACTTACAGGAAAAGAAAAATGATTTTTCCCAACTTCAAAATATAACAGATGTTTAAGAATGTTCTTTAGTGTCATTAACAGAGGGTATTAAATAGGATTACATGGTTTCTGGTCCTTTTGCTACCTCTAAACATTATTCTCCTCTTCTTACACATAACATATGTTGCTACTGTCTTCTGAATTTTCATTCAGATACATGGAAACAGAGCATGTTTTTGTCTGCAGGTGATAAATGCATTAGTATAATAGCAGGTAAATGAGAACATAAGATAAAACAAATATAAAGATAAGTTGCTAATAAATTGCTTATCAGTGGCACAAATGGACAATATTTCATACATTTTATAAGATTGTTTTTCTTCATTAGGACGAACGTACAACGATCTAAACCAATACCCTGTATTTCCGTGGGTATTAACGAACTACGAATCAGAAGAGTTGGATCTGACCTTACCAGGCAACTTCAGGGATCTTTCAAAGGTATTTTTCAGACATTTATGTTACAGAAATCTAACCAACCTTCTTAATGAAACAGTGTATTTTTAATTTTTATTACTAAATGAATGGAATTAATAAGTTTAGCAGGAAAAGATTTTTATTTTACAAAGCCTTATGAGGTTATATTTTTCATATGGAAGATTGGTTTTGATTTGTTATATCAAATAAGTTTTAAAGGGATTTTCTTTAAGGTGCCTGATATATTTCATGAGAGCACTTTATTTGTTTAGGATGTCGCCTAGATAAGACTTTTTTTCTTTTATACTTAATATTTTTATTATAGTGTTTATGTCCTTTATTGGTTAGCTATAGGAGAGTAGCTCTGTATATTCCTTGATATCAAGATCTCATACAAATACTTGTAAACAAAAGACACTTTATTAGCAATTTTACAAAACATAGCTAGACACATGCAGTTACATAGATTTCATTTCTATGTGTCTCTGAATTTCCCTGATATGGTGGGGACTAGAAGCGTAAGTGCTGGAAGAGCTTTCCTTGCAGTATCTATAGAAGCCAGAAGTACTGTAATCATGTTGAAAACCTGCTCTGCCAAGACTTGAAGACTAATTTTGCACTTGGCGTATATGGATAATATTTGGATAGTTAAAGCTGCTGGAAAGACTGACTGGCTGGTAAACACACATATCATCCCATTTTGGTTGAGGCCTAGTCTCAGGTTATGCAGGGCACTTTGCCCTTTCACAATATTATTTAACATTTTCCAAAGTTCGGGGTTGGACTCGACGACCTCCTGAGGTCTCTTCCAGCCCTAGGATTCTATGATTCTGTGAAAGTAATATTTTACAGGTATATAATGAGATTATAATCTATATCATAAGTGACAACAAAATCCACAATAGGAGGCTATTGACATTGCTAGTAACAGTATGAGGAAATTCTCAAGCAATACTTCGCAGTATTGTTTATGATAATGATAAAATATATAAATAAGAATCTTTGTCTCTTCAAAATCTCAAAGATTTGCTTTCCTAATATTTGCAGTGGCATGGGGCAGTTTGCATAGCACAATGTACTGTGGTTACTCCAGAGTGTGGCTTCATGAGATTTTATAAGCAATTTCAGTCTCACTGACGCCATACTTGGACTCCATCAAGGAACACAGGTGCTAAAGGGAGTAGCTTAGGGTATGTCTACAGTACCACCCTAGTTCGAACTAGGGTGGTTAATGTAGGCAACCAAAGTTGCAAATGAAGCTCAGGATTTAAATATCCTGGGCTTCATTTGCATCTTGCCGGGTGCCGCCATTTTTAAAGCCCTGGTAGTTCGGACTCCGTGCCCGCAGCTACATGTGGCACGGAGTAGGTAGTTTGGATTAGGCTCTCTAATTAGGCTCTGGAACGAGCCTAATCCATTCCTACCTACTGCGTGCCACGTGTAGCCGCGGGCACAGAGTCCGAAATACCGGGGCTTTAAAAATGGCGGCGCCCGGCAAGATGCAAATGAAGCCCGGGATATTTAAATCCTGGGCTTCATTTGCAACTTCGGTTGCCTACATTAACCACCCTAGTTCGAACTAGGGTGGTATTGTAGACATACTCTTACTGATTTAGTAGGTTCCTTTTTTTCCCCCAATCTTCTAATTTGTCCAGGTCACTCTGGACCCTATCCCTACCCACCAGCGTATTTACCTCTCCCCTTAGCTTAGTGTCATCTGAAAACTTGCTGAAGGTGCAGTCAGTCACCTCATCCAGGTTATTAATAAAGATGTTGAACAAATCCATCCCCAGAACTGACCCTTGGAGCACTCTGCTTGATATGGATCACCAACCAGACATCGAGCCATTGATCACAACCCATTGAACCCAATAATTTAGCCAGCTTTCTATCCCCCTTACAATCCATTTATCCAATTCATATTTCTTTAACTTGCTGGCAAGAATACTGTGGGAGACCGTATCAAAAGCTTTACTAAAGTCAAGCTATATCTTGTCCGCCAACTTGCCCATATCCACAGAGCCAGTTTCCTTGTCATAGAAGGCAGTCAGGTGAGTCAGGCATGACTTTGCTCTTGGTGAATCCATGTTGACAATTCCTGATCACTTTTCTCTCTTGCAAGTGCTTCAAAATGGATTCCCTAAGGATCCTTTCCATGGTTTTTTTGGGAACTGAGGTGAGGCTGACCAGTCTCTAGTTCCCTGGATTGTCCTCCTTCCATTATTTCCCAGTCATCTCTCTCAATCTCTACAATTTTTCAGAGATAATGGCCATTGGCTCTGCAATCACATCAGCCAATTCCCTCAGCACCCTCGGATGCATTAGATACAGTCCTATGGATTTGTTTATGTCCCGCTTTTCTAAATAGTTCTTAACTGTTCTTTCTGCAGTGAGGGCTTCCCATACTGTGCCTCCTAGAGCAGTCGTCTGGGAGCTGACTTTATCTGTGAAAACAGACAAAAATGCATTGAGTATTTCAGCTTTTTCCCACATCATCTGTCACTAGGTTGCTTCTTTCCTTCAGCAAGGGTCCTACAACTTCCCTGGCCACACTCTTATTGTTGACATGCCTGTACAAACCTTTCTTGTTACCCTTCACATGCCTTGCTGGCTTTAATTCCAATTGTGCATTAGACAATTTTCATAATACTTTACCCCAGAATCCTATATTGCCGAATTGGGTAATTATATCCTGTTAATCTAAAATTACCATATAGTTCAAACTGGAAAAGATAAGAGTGTACAGCAGTTCCTCTCTTGAAATCCATTGTGTGCAATGTTGCTGAAGGAGAATGACTGCTACATTACAATCAAATTGTGGGGTACATTTAATGGTGGATAAGTCATCCCTATATGTAATTTGCAAACTATGTTGGGGTTTGTGGCGGGGTCACTGGCCCCGCCCCCTCCAATCTCCAAGGCCTGGTCCTTTAAACGCAGGCCCAGCTGCCCAGTCCTTTAAACGCAGGCCCAGTGGCCTTGTCCTTTACATGCAGACCCAGCAACCTAGTCCTTTATGGGATCCCCTCTGGGAGGAAGGGGTAGGGGAACCCAGGCCCTCCCTCTCCACTGGGCCCCAACCCAGGGTCCTATCAGTGGCAGGTGGTTCCCACCACTGGCTCAGTGGGAAGTTCTCCCCAAAACTCGCTGAGCCTGCTAGATACTTTCCTGGTCCTCACCCTGGGTTGCTTCCTACCCCCTCATCCTGGCCGACAGCGGTCCCACCTGTGGATGTGGGTCTGGCTACAGCAGCAATGTTGGCAGGCGTGGCCTTGAAGATAGCAGTGGCTGGGGCAGCAACAGCTTCTAGGGGGGCTGCACAGCGCAGCCGGCGTTGCGGTCTGGCTTGTCCCGGGGACAACAGCGGCAGGGGTAACTGGTCCAGTGCCTCTTGTTCCAGCTGTGGCTTCTGTGTCTGGACGGGAGCTCCTTCCCCTCCGGTGGCCAGCCCCAACTGAGCAGACCTGTAGCCTTTTATACCTGGGCTGCACCGCGAGCATGCCCAGCAGGGCTGTGGGGGAGAGGCATACCCAAAAGGCGGGCTCTCTGTCCCCTTGTTCAGTGTGGGGCTGGCCAGCTGCGTCACAGGGTTCTTCTGGAAAAGTGGAAATAATTATAAACTTTAATTAATACAGTAATCTAGTGGTGCTTAGCAGCAGCTACAGAGGTTTCATTACAAAATTATCTTAAAGTGGCGCACAGATTTTTGTTTGTCTCTGAGGGCATGTCTACACTAGGAAATTATTTCGAAATAACTACATTCAAAATAATAACTTCTGAAATAACAAAATCAAAATAACATGTGCCCCACTATAGAGAAACCTCAAAATTAGTCCGAGGTAGGCTCCATTTTTGTGGACTCACTACCTCAGCTTAGAGCCCCAGGAAACACTAGGGAGTAATTACTTCGAATTACTCTGGGGAGTAGTTATTTTGGAATAGCAGTAGCAGAGCATCCACACTAATGCTATTTCAAAATAACTATTTTGAAATAACCATCGTTCCCCGAGGAAAACAGGAATACAAATTCCAAAATAACCACTCCATTATTTTGAAATAACGGGATTGGAAGTGTGGATGCTTCACTTATTATTTCGAAATAAGGCATGTTATTTCAAAATAACTCCCTAGTGTAGACCAGGGCTGAAAGTTGTTGACTAGCCAATGTGAATATTCTATTTAGTTTTTGTCTGGATACTCTTTGTACATTTTCAATAGGAAGTCTTTGTAATTGAACTGTGGCTAAATTTTTTTCTTCACATTCCTCCTTTCATTGTCTCCAAAAAATTGGATGGATACTGAGAAGGTCTAGTCAGTTCATTGGGAAGGGTTTAAAAACAGAGTTCCTGATTTTTAGTCATTATTCACATTACAGCTGAAAGGTTATGTGCTATGCACATAGATCAGATTGATGGGGAGCTGGGCACACACAAAATCTTCTCCATCAGGAGCTATCCTTTTCTGTCAGATTTTACTCTACAATCAAAAAGTGTTCCTGCATTGCTGCTGGCACATAAGGACTTCCTGCATAGCCACTGATGAATAAAATCTTCTGTCAGCTGCTGCATTTCTATTCCTCACAGGTCTGCCCTCAACTCCCTTGCCCCAATCCTCATCCTTAAAAAAAGAAGAAAAAAAAGAAAGAAGTACACAAAAATTTCTTCTGGAAGTAGTTCTGCATTACTCAGGTCGCTATATTTAGTAATGCTAATATTATAGCATCTTCATTCATTTAAAGAACTGTTTGTCCAGTCATGAAGAGTTAAATACTAGTTGAAAAATAGTCATATTCTTCCTTCATAGTATTTTGTCAAATATTTCTAGCCCTTGTTTTTTTCCTTATACATTTAATTGGAGATTTATAAAAATGGGCATGGGGCCAATCAAGGTGCTGTAGCTTAAGATATAATGTACCCCTCATTTGGATAGACATTGTAGGCTCAAATTTTATTCATTACATATAAAAGGTTAAAGGTTATATTTATTGTGTGACAGAATGAAAAGTTAATGAAAGAGGCTGTCAT